CAGCCCCGTGCCCCCACTCGCAGCCGTGGAGCGGGCCTGGGGTGAGCAGCTCTGGGTACCCACTCACCGGTGTCAGCCAGCCCAGGGTGCCGCTCGCTGATGGGCGCCGCGTGCTGGGTGCTGAGCACCTGCAGGAACCGCTCCACGGGGCAGGTGTAGAGGTTGGGCGCCTCCACGCAGCGCTCCCAGAGGGGCAGCACTCCCTCCTTCTGCATGGAGAACTGCACCACTGTGGAGACAAGTGCCAGCAGGTGTCACCCAGGCCGTGCCAGCCAGCGGGGACGGCCCCGCGCAGACCCCAGGGTGGCACTGAGGGTCCCCGTGGCCACGCGTCTGTACCTTCAGCAGCAGATCCAGCTGCTCCTGCTCGCTCCTCAGTCAGCTGGCAGACGATCTCCAGCACCTGGGCCTCCCGCAGCAGCCTGTCCAAGGCGTACATCTCCTGGCACCGCAGGGGACCGAAGGTGCCCAGCTTCTGCAAGGCACCACCAAAGCAGGGACATCAGGGATGCAGCTCAGCGCCCGCGCCACGGCCACCACGCTGCGGTGAGACACCCCTGGAGGGGGTCCCACAGCCCACCCCAGGGCTTTCCACCCCCCCAACCAGGACGCTTGTCCCTGTGCCCTGTCCTCACCAGCAGCAGGTGGTTGCAGGTGTGGAGGTGAAGCACCAGGGCCTTATCCAGGAACTCGTTGCCAGTGCTCATGGGGTCAGTGCTGGCCTCGGAGCCGCTGCACATGCCGGTGTCATCTGCCATCACCTCAGCAGCACTGGGGGCCCTGCTGCCACGCCGGGCTCTGCCCGCCCTCCTGCAAGCCAGGGACAGAGTGAGGCAGCATGTCAGAGCAGGAAACCAGGACCCAACCCTTCCCTACCTGCGGGCCAACGCTGGGCAGGGTTTCTGTAGGACCTACAGTGTCGCTGGGGGAAGAAGCAGGGGCTGCCTCCCAGCCCAGCCCCCACGGGAAGATGCTGCAGCATCGTTGTGCTACCAGAAAGGCCAGATCACAGAATAATTCTGGTTGGAAAAGACCTTTAAGATCATCAAGTCCAACCACAACCTAATTCTACCAACCGTTAACCCAACCCTACCAAGCCCAGTGCCAACCCATGTCCCTCAGGACCACATCTACACAGCTCTGAAACCTCTCCAGGGATGGGGACTCCACCACCTCCCTGGGCAGCCTGGGCCAGGGCTTAGTGACCCTTTCAGGGAAGAAGTTTCTTCTCATCTCCAATCTAAACGTCCCCTGGAGCAACTTGAGCCCATTTCCTCTTGTTCTATCACTAGCTACTTAGGAGAAGAGACCAATCCTTGGTGTTCCTCCAGCTGCTCCCGCCCTGAGCTGTGCTCGGCCACTCGTAATGAGCACGGGCACCCCCATCACAGCTGCCCCAGGCCCCATCCCTTCAGCCTCACTGTGCACCTCTCGTCGTGGAGGGGCTCCTCCTCGGAGCCCTCTGAGTCCTCCATGTCAGAGGTGTTGAGGAAGCTGAAGCTCTCCAGGGCGTGCTCCACCGTCAGGCTGATGCTGGAGGCCCGGCTGAGGAAGATGCCCTGCTTCTGCTGCAGAGGGAAGCATGGCAGGCTGGGACCCTGGGTCACCCTGCCACCTGCATCCCTGGGCACTGCCAGCAGAGGTGGCTTCAATCCCATCATCTCCATACTCCCTGGGCTCTACCATCAGGGATGGCCCCATCATCTCCATCATCCCTGGGCTCCACCATCAGGGCTGGCCCCACCCCATCATCCCTGGGCTCCACCATCAGGGATGGCCCCATCATCTCCATCATCCCTGAGCTCTACCATCAGGGATGGCCCCATCCCCATCATCCCTGGGCTCCACCATCAGGGATGGCCCCATCATCTCCATCATCCCTGAGCTCTACCATCAGGGATGGCCCCATCCCCATCATCGCTGGGCTCCACCATCAGCGACCCACCACCAGGGATGGCCCCATCATCTCCATCATCCCTGAGCTCCACCAGCGGGGCTCCCCCCATCCCCATCATCCCTGGGCTCCACCAGCAGGGATGGCCCCATCATCTCCATCATCTCTGGGCTCCACCAGCAGGACCAGCCCCGTCCCCCTCACCCCTGGGCACTGCTGCCAGCCCCTCACCAGCAATATCTCCTCCAGGTGCTTGAGCTCCCGTTCCAGGGGCTGCAGCTCAGGGAACTGCCCCCGATAGTCATCCAGGGCCGAGCCCAGAAGGCTGATGGCCTCCTCCAGACCCGAATCCACCACCTTCCCCCGCGGCACCGCAGGGACACCACCGGGCAGCGGTGGGGTTGGGATGGGTCCCTCCTCCACGGGGGCTTGTGCCGGCGCCGCGGGAGCCCCGGTGCCGTGCCCAGCCTGTGCTGGAGCCCGGCTCTGCTCCAGCTCTGCCCCACCAGTGTCCTCCTGGCAGGTGGAGGTGGCCCAGGCCACGGTGGCACGGGGCTTGGCCTCAGCTCCCTGGTCCTGCCCTGCCAGCCCTGTGGCCACCACCGAGGCACCGGGCAAGGCGTCCTGGTCCCGCTGGACTGTCCCCGTGTCCTCCAGGCAGGGCGCAGGTTCCCAGGGGCTCTCGGCCACCTTGGCCTCCATCGTGGCATCCACGCTGGCCTCGCTGATGTGGCTCAGAGTCCGGGAGTAGGGCACGTGCCCGTTGGCCACCGCATCCTTCCTATGGCTGCCCGGTTCCTCGGGCTGGCTCCCGGAGGTGGGGATGTTGCTGCTGCTGCTGCTGCTGCTGCCACCGGCCCCGGGAGCAGCCCCAGCCTCCTCTGGCTGCTGGGAGAAGGAGATCTCGATGGCGGGGGCAGAGGCCTGGAGCTCGGGCTGCACGATGGGCTTGTGGGCAGCGTGGCGGGCACTGCCAGACAGCTGGGGGCTGGAGGAGTCGTCCGAGGACTCAGAAGAGATGGACCAGGCCATGCCGTTCTCCAGCTCCTCCTGGCGCCGCAGCATGTTCTGGGGAGGGGGGACATGGTGTCACACGAGACCCTGCTCCCCCACCTGCCATCCCTTCAACCGTGGGCAGGGCCTGGCTGAGCTGGAGGACACCATGGCTGGTTGCCCAGCAGGCTGCCCCACGGGCCTGATGGCAGCCCACGGCTGCCTCTGCCAGCCCTGCACCCCACACCGTGCCAGAGGGGTCCAGCTCCCCATGCCCAGCCACACACACCCCGGGGTGCCAGCAGCTCCCTGGCATGGCCATGATGGGGTGTGACACATGACCCACCATGGCTGCAAGATTGGTGGCAGCCCTGGCACCAGCTCATGGCTGGCAGTACCAGCCAACACACCAGAGGTCCACCATCACTGAATGCCATGTTAGCATCGTGGCAGCACCACTCCAGCACCATCACACCACCACTCCAGCACCACCACTCCAGCACCACACCAGTGCCAAGGATCAGCACACCACCACCACTGCAGGGACATGGACAAGCCTTCTACTCACTAGTGCCCAGCTCTCACACAGGGGCAGGAGCAGGGCTGGCCCATGCAGCCCAGGCTGACCCAGCTTGGGGACAGTCTCTCCAGGGCCAGCCTGGCAGGCTCAGGTCTCTGGGCATCAGCGAGGGTGAGGGGGCAGGAGACAAGGAGCAGCTACAGCTACTGCGGGATGGCCACCTGGCTGGACTAAGCTCCTGGCCAGCTCCAGCCCTGGCACTTACGCGGCCCTGCTGAGGCCACCTCCTGAGCTCAGCCGAGGAGACGTCGCTGCAGGAGCAGCTCTGAGACAGCTTCTCGCAGAGCGTCTCCCGAAAGATGTCCACCAGGGACCAGCCACGCTGCTCAGCCACCCGCCCCGGGTTCTTGGGCAGAGAGAAGAGGAGCTGTGAGCGCGGGAGGAGCCGGGACCTGTCCTGGGCAGCCACCACTGGATGGATGGGGAGGAGCTGCCCACCCTTGCCTGAGCTGTGCCACCCGCTGGGACGTGGCCTGGGCATGTCCCTGCAGCAGAGCCCTCCACCCGAGCAGCCCTGCCCGGTGCCACACTTACATAGAACGCCTGTTCCCGCAGGGATGGGGTGTCAGGTGGGCTCTGGTTGTAGGTGGAGAACCTCTTGTTCACCGTGGAGGCCTTGTTGACCGTGCTGGCTGCTGAGGGCTGGTCATCCTTGTCGAAGGGGCTTGTGGGGAGAGCAGGGAGGTGAGGGGTGTGTGCCAGCTGGGGAACCCATCAAATTGGGCACAATTTTCTTGTCCATAATTGGGGCCCAGTTTTGGGACAGGAGGAAGCCCGGGGCAGGCCAGGTCTTGCCGTGCCACACTGGGCATCCCCAGCCTTGCTGTGTTGTGCCAGCAATGCCTGCTGAGATACTCACTTCCAGGTCACCTCCAGGCTGAGTTTGAGGGTGCCCAAGTCATTGATATCCACAGCCACCACCTGGGGCAGAGCTGCAAAAAGGTCCTTGGTCTCGCAGGACACGTTGCCCACCACCACATGGTTGGCCAGGCTCTTTAGCTCCGTCACCTAGACAAGGAGAGGGAGGAGATGATGAGAAGGAGCCCCAGACTCCACAGGTGCTGTGTGCACCCCTGCTGTGTGCCACCAGGCCATGGACATCCCCTCTGCTGCCAGGATGCCCCCACCACCAGCCAGCCTCCTCCCAGCCCAGCGAGGGTGAGGTTCAGGTGAGGTGCTGCCCCCCAGCCACCCCCCTCCCTTCTGCACTGTACCTTGATGGAGAGGAACTCGGTGACGAGGGGCAAGAAGACCATCTCCTCGCTGTCCCACACCTGCTTGCTGTTCACCTCGATGCGCCCGCGCAGCTTCCACCGCTGCCGCCCGTACTTCATGAAGATCTGGGGGTGCAGGAGGGTGGGAGACACAGTGCTGGGGTGGTGGGTGCTCTCCCTGCACCCCCAGAGACCCGCAACCACCCATCACCACCACCCCGCAACGCGCCCACACCCCGCAGGCACCCCAAGGCCCAGAGGGCAGGAGAAGAGCAGACCCCAACCCGCCGAGTCCCACCAACCTCGTACTGGTCACCAGCACAGAGCCGGGCAAACCCTGCCAGTCCTGCAAGGGAAGGCAGAGGAGGGTCAGCGGGCAGCGGGCAGCAGGGCTGGGCACAGAGGAGGACACGGTACCTTTCATGCGGACGTGGAACTCGCCCAGCTGGCTCTCCAGCTCGTTCTCCAGCAGGCACATGTTCTGGGGACGGAGGGACGGCACCCATCAGTGGCCACCTCAGTGCGTC